GAGCGGTCTTATCAGGTTAATTGAAGCTCGCCGTCTAGCAGTGTTGCATAAGCGTGTATGAATTATGTTGCAATAGCATACTGCTGCTGGAAAGGGTGCTTTAAAAGGGCACAGCTGTTAGCATCTGAAAGCTTTGCTGATGATGCATGGCTCTTCTCCGCAGGCTCCACGAGGCTACAGACTACCCGTGGAGGCCTGCTCTTACGGCATTTGACTTCCAGAAGCTTCTCCACAATTTGACTTCCATCAAGATCCGTGGGACGTACAGTGAGAGAAGTAAGTCACTGGGCAGAACGTCACAGGAGAGAGGGGCAGATTCATTTGTCTAGTGCTCAGGTTGCTTTATTGTAGGGCCCGGTCATAAATAGCTGTGGTAGGTTATTTGGCAAAGGCTGTGCCGATTGCCTTTTTTCTACCTGGCCTTCCTGTGTAACAGCTTCTCCCAGGCCTCCTGAAGAGGACATGGGGAAGAAAAGCGCTGCCTTTGAGAGTGGAAGCTGAGCACCCATCACCTGCCAATTCTTTGCTGCTTAACGTGTGGGTTTTGCTGTGTTGCGCAACCAGTATCTTCCAAATTGGCAGAAATACAAAGCACAGAGTCCTGAAAGGCACCGTAGGAGAGGGGTAGGGAGTTTTTGACATTTGGCCTCAGTTTCTGCTGCACTGGGAATGGTTACACCCCCCCGATTCCTGCTCTTGCCTTGCCATGACAAATGGGAAGGACGAGGTCTTGAAAGCGCTGCCTGTGCTGAACTTGAAAGTTCCTCGTAGTGAGGCTTTATAAAAAGTGGACACGAACTTGGAGCAGAAATACCTGGGTCCTTGGGTATTGTCGTGTGAAGAAGAATTTTTGTGAAAAGATGCAAAGGATGAATTTGCATTTGGGGAAGATGGGAACGCTGCAAGCGTTTTCAGTAGAGGTGGCTCATAAAGAGGAATGTGGGGTTGTGAAATGGAGGGGAGGAAAGGTGTGGAGCCAAGCCGTCCCGAGTGCTGTCGCCGCCGCTAATATGCGGGAGCTGAGGCTCTGCTCGGTGCTCCGGAGCTGTTGCAGTGGTACAAACACAGGGCTAGAAGTTAAAAACCAGCGATGTTCTGTCTGGTCTCTGCTTTGCCCCAGGGAAGGGGCAGGGAGGAGAGGGGGGAGTGCTCAAATGCCAGATGAAGGAATGGCTTGAGAGGAATAGCTGAAGAGTTTGCCCCAGGGCATGGTTTGCAGACGCTGTGGTAGAGACAGTGTATTAAAAAGGTGGTCTGTCCTCCCTAGAAAGACAGGAATTGGTTTTGGTATTTGATTTGGAAATGGAAACCATATGCATGCAAAATGTAACTTATTTTAACTGACTGTACTTACTCAAGATGCTGTTCTCGGCATCCTCCTCTGTATTGTTATTCTCAACTTTCCTGCCCTGTGCGTGCCCTTCGTGAGCTATATTGTGTCTTTTCTCATCTATCTTAGACCTTCCTGCAGGATTTTGTTTCTTGATTCACCTTACCAACTGCGAGCATCCACCTGACTGTCTCTTGTACCATTCAGATGTGTGTTTGGCGAGACAGTGATGAGAGTCTTTGTGGTTACAAAGCGTTTCCCTTCTTGGTGCTTTCTAGGTGCCGGCCACCTGGATGACGTTACAATCACAAGCGCTCGCCCTGGACCTGGTGTGCCCGTGTCCTGGGTGGAGAGCTGCTCCTGCCCGGCAGGATACGAGGGGCAGTTTTGTGAGCGCTGCTCCTCTGGGTACCGGCGAGAGACACCGAGCCTCGGGCCCTACAGCCCCTGTGTGCCTTGCGCTTGCAACGGGCACAGCGAGACATGCGAGCCCGAGACGGGTAAGAGGGGCTGATAAAACAGGGAGCAGCAAGAGGGTGGTGGTTATTCCTGGATTGGACAACGAAGCAAAACCTATGTCCCTCTCTATTCCAGGCATGTGCAATTGCAGGGATAACACGGCGGGGTCTCACTGTGAGAAGTGCAGCGATGGGTATTATGGAGATGCCACAGCAGGCACAGCCTCAGACTGCCAGCCCTGCCCATGCCCAGGCAGCTCGAGCTGTGCCATCGTGCCCCGCACGAAGGAGGTTGTGTGCACCAGCTGCCAGGCTGGCACTACAGGTGTGTTCCTACACGAAAAGTCTGTTTTTCTACACCCCACGTGCCTGTGGAAATGTGTCTCCTGCCGGTTCTGGGGCTCCATCCTGCAGTGAGCAGCACTGAGAGCTGCTCCATCTTCTGGTTCAAATCCTTCTCCCTTCCTCAGCCCTATTTTCTGCCCTGTGCGAGGCTCAGGGCTGCCCATGTTCTTTGTGCCTGTCTCTCAAGAACAAAAGGGAAACAAAGGCTTAATCTGTGCAAAGTTTGAACACTTCTGTGCTACGTAGGTGAGCTGTGCTAGCTTCTAATAGAGCTCTGTTAATTGCACGGTGTTGGGCGGAAAAGAGGATAGATTTAAGAGAGACAGGAAGGCAGGTCAGACTGAAATAAAATTGGAAGATGCAGTTTGCCAGGCAGAGAGACACTGCCAGATGCTTGCAGGGGAGGGCCAGTGCCCTCCCTAGGAAAAGCAGGAAGACTGCAGCGACTCACAAACACTGCCCCAGAAAATACAAGACCAAATTTATGCGCAGCAGTTTTAAAGTGAAATACATGAACGGGTACAGATCTTTTTTCCTTTGTGATAAACTGTGAAGTCCAAGCATGTTACCTGAGTTGTTAAGCAGAGCCTCTTGTTCTGCCTGCAAACAGCAAGGAAGCTTTAGGATGGTTGGCAGCCTCCATGCTTCTCTGCTGATTTTATGCTTGGCGTGGCAGAATCCAAAGTACAGAATACCTGTAAGTGCTTGAAATGTGAAGAAAAGCCCCTGACCAAACACAGAGACCTCTCGTGGGGGTTCCCATGGGTGCCATTGTGTCATGAATCAAAGGGGAGTCCAGGGGTCCAGGTTCCTTGCAGCTCAGGTATCAATACAAGCTCACCTTTACTTGTAGCTATGTGATCACACAAGAGTTCCTCCTGTCTCCTGCCACCCTCTTGGGATGTGAGACAAAAGGTGGGGAAAAAGAGGGTTTGTGTGTGCAAGAACTGCCTAAGAAACAGAGCTTGTTGCTGGCTGGGGAGGTCAAATCTGCAGTAAGCGTAGGGAGCTGCTGAGTTGGATGCTTCAGTGGCTACCCGCGGAGGTTTGGCAGATCTCGTTGGCAGATGATGCCCCATGGAGCTCTACCTGCTTGGACTCTTAAATGAACAACAAATTACAACAAATAGGTTGGGCTTAAAGGGATAGGAGGGAAAGGAAGAGCTGAAAAAATTCATAATGCAAAGTTCCAGTGAAAAAGCAGCCTAAATTTAGAGATGGGGAGAGATCTGTGTGTGGTTTCGTGCACCTTTGTGGCCCCGACAGAAGGATGAAAGGGGAGGAAGCTGGAGAGTCGCTTTTCAGAAGGGAGCTGCAAAGCGGGGTCCGGTGAGATGGCAGCAAAGGGCTGTCTGCTGCAACACGTGCGTTTCTGGCGTGTCCCAGGCAAGAGGTGCGAGCTGTGTGACGATGCCTATTTCGGAGACCCGCTGGGCGAAAACGGTGCTGTGAGGCCTTGCCGCCTCTGCCAGTGCAACGACAACATCGATCCCAACGCCGTGGGGAACTGCGACCGCCAGACGGGCGAGTGCCTCAAGTGCATCTACAACACCGCCGGCTTCTACTGCGACCGCTGCAAAGACGGCTTCTTCGGGAACCCCCTGGCCCCCGATCCTGCGGACAAGTGCAGAGGTGAGAGATGGTTCTTCCTGCATTTAGAAATTTTTTTGTCACCAAGAGCTGCCGCTTCCTGATGTGTCGTTAGGACACAACATCAGGCTGTCATTCCTGCCAGTCATCAGTGATGCATGGCTTTATCCTGATTTGGTGTTGTAGCTTGCTAAAATGCTTGTGTTTGTGGGTGCTTACTGCCATCAAAGCAAAAGCATTGTGTGATGCAGGGGCTGGGCTGCCGCGTGTTTTGGATCCAGGCTTGGTTAGGGACTGGCTAGCAGTGTACCAACACCACAAGGGACTTCCAACTTTCTGCATATTTCCCCATTCCTTTTATTTTTGCAGCTTGTCACTGCAATCCTTACGGCACTGTGAATCAGCAGACGAGTTGCAATCAAGTGACCGGGCAGTGCGAGTGCCTCTCTCATGTCACTGGGAGGGACTGCAGCACCTGTGAGCCCGGCTTCTTCAACCTCCAGAGTGGACGCGGCTGTGAGAGGTGATGTTCACCTTGGCTTGGGGCAAAGAGCCTGGTTTTGGGTGGTCTGTGCCTACCTTGTGCAGGAAGGTGATGTTTGTCACAAGTAACTGGTGTGCCTTGATGCTGCTATGGGTGGGGAAGAGCAGCAGGCAAGGAGGAGCTACAAAAGCTGTACAAAAAGCCTGACTTATAAATAGCTTTATAAATAGCTTTAAATCAGGGTTTTAAATAGAAAAGTGCCACATGACTGCATGATCGTTGGTAGCAGGGGCTCGTGGGTTCCTTTTTTTAGTGCAAGCACCAAGTGACCTTGCACAGGTCAAAGGCTCGGCACCTCGCCTCCTGCATCTCTACAGAAAGAGGAGTGACTTTTGGCACAGGGAAAGGTTGCGCTGAGCTCACTAGCCCTCCTTCAGAGAGGTTCCTTCACCCATGCCTCCTCTCTGTGTCACCGCCTGACGTGTGGCTGCCTCCCCCAGGTGCAACTGCCACGCGCTGGGCTCCACCAACGGGCAGTGCGACATCCGAACCGGGCAGTGCGAGTGCCAGCCTGGTGTCGCCGGCCAGCGTTGCGACAGATGCGAGGTCAACCACTTTGGTTTTGGCTCCGAAGGCTGTAAACGTAAGTCTGAGAGGCTGGAGCAAGGCAGATGGGAAGGATGTCACGCAGTCAGCCTTGCCTTTGCTTTCCTCCTGTCTCTGGGAAGGTACTTTCTCACCTTGCTCTTCATCACAGCAGAAGTTGGCACTTTTATGTCCACACCCCGTATGGTGAAATCTGATCTCTGTACAATACCTTAATCCCCTTTTTCTTTTTTTTTTTTTTAATTGGGTGTAGGAAAGACTCCAATTTATTAGATACCTGCTTCTCTTCAGTGTAAATACATTCTCTCAATCTTGTCCTGCACCAGTCCTGTTTCCTCATGTGAAATCTCTGCACAGCTACTCTGCAAATGGCCTGAATATACAGATTCTGTCTTGAGAAGCAACAGAACTTATAAATGTGACTGAAAAACAGGATGATCCAAACTTTCCTCTTGATATCCCTGCCCGTAAGGAGCAGAAAATTTAACTGCAGTTGGTTACAGTGAAATGGGGTAGAAAAATACAACGCTTTGTGAGAGAGGCAGTAGTAACACTGTGAACACATGCAATGAATGCAGCATCCAGCTAGACAGAGTGTCCTGCTGTGCGTAGAAGCGCCCTGATGGGGAGCGGGGCTCCAGCTGTGGGTTTGTGCCCCGCTGTCTTGCAGAGTTTTTAGGGTACTGAGGGTTTGCTCTTACCCTGCGGGTTTTAGGGTATTTCTGTCTCTCCAGTCTGACTGACGTTTAACTTCCCTGCAGCCTGCGACTGTGATCCCGAGGGTTCGCGCTCTCTGCAGTGCCGGGAGAATGGTCGCTGCGAGTGCAAGGAAGGCTTTGTGGGGAGCCGCTGCGACCAGTGTGAAGAGAACTATTTCTACAACCGCTCATGGCCAGGCTGCCAAGAGTGTCCGGCCTGTTACAGATTAGTGAAAGATAAGGTAAGGCCACAGAGGCCACCGTTGGTACCACTGGAGATGGTGACACATGCCTGCTTGTGCGGTGGCTTTTACACCCAGGGCTGGCTGATGCTTGCTGAAAGCAAGGTGCTTTGCTCTGTGTCGTAGCTGTGCTCTGTCCCTCTCGCGTAGGTGGCAGAGCAACGAGAGAGGTTGCAGGAGCTGGAAAATCTTATAGCAAATCTGGGTACGGGAGAAGAAACTGTAACCGATCAAGCCTTTGAAGAGAGGTTGAAGCAGGCAGAAAGAGATGTTATGGAGTTGCTTCAGGAAGCACAAAACAGCAAAGGTGAGTTGACCCGATCAGACGTGGACCAATGTGAAATGAGCTCTTCGCTTGATGTTCCTGTTTCCTTTGGATGCAGCGTGTTTTATTTCAAGCCTATACCGTGCATCAGGAAAGACAGCTAGTTCAGATAGCGCTGAGACAGCGTATGTTGTTATCAAAACAACGGTGGCTGTGCTTTTATCCCTGCTGTTCTCCCAGTGGTCTCTGTTGTACATACAAAGTAAAGCTCTGCCTTTAGCTCATATAGATGCAAGTATTTTATGTGTTACCCTCTTCTCCGGATGCAAAGGAGGTTTTTACTGACTTGTTAAACAAGCAGAAGGCTTTCCAATATACTTATTTATTATGCTTATAAATTTGCTCAGACATCTTGGGATAAAGCAGTTCTTGTTGCGATGTCATCAGCGATCGGAATGAAGTCTCAAAATCCTGATGGCAAGCTTAATTATCCCACCATAAACTGTATAATGTTCTCAAAAGTGCTGTTGTGATGGCCTGTAGCTACTTTTCCTGTTACATTCTGCTTCAAATTGCTTCTTGCGCTGTCACCTCTACCATAGGATGCCTGTGAGCAAGGATGTTAAGCAATGTGACGGTGGTTTGTCCTTAGGGTCTTTTTAATGTATAAGCCGATGTGTGTTTTGGAGAAGAGCAACTTGAAGACGGCTGTGGACTTTGCAGTAAAAGATGGTTCAGTGATTTCAGACCACTTTAGAAAAATCTGTCTCCTTTGCATGAAGCTGGGGAAGAAGCTGATGTGCATCTAATACTTGTGTTTTCTTGGGAAGATTCCTGCCAGTGGGAATGGTCACTGAAGCTCTTCTTAGCTTTAGCTGAGGTAGCTTTATGCTGCCTGCTTGGCATCCTTGCCTAGATAAGTCACATGTAGCAGGGTAGGAGGGTGGGGATTGGAGAACGGTGAGGGAATGGATTGAGTTTTGTGGTGGTATTTGTCATCCGGCAGTGTGCCCAGGTGGCCAAGAAGGCCAACAGCGTCCTGGCCTGTATCAGAAGTAGTGTGGCCAGCAGGAGTAGGGAAGTGATTGTGCCCCTGTACTCGGCACTGGTGAGGCCGCACCTTGAATCCTGTGTTCAGTTTTGGGCCCCTCACTACAAGAAGGATGTTGAGGTGCTGGAGCGTGTCCAGAGAAGGGCAACGGAGCTGGTGAGGGGTCTGGAGCACAAGTCTTAGGAGGAGCGGCTGAGGGAACTGGGGGTGTTCAGTCTGGAGAGGAGGAGGCTGAGAGGAGACCTTATCGCTCTCTACAACTACCTGAAAGGGGGTTGTGGCGACGAGGACGTTGGCCTCTTCTCCCAAGTAACTAGTGATAGGACAAGAGGAAATCTTTGTCATCTTTCTTTCCACCTCTTGGAATCATAGAATCATTTAAGTTGGGAGAGACCCTTAAGATCATAGACCGTTAAGACCCTAGAGCTCAGTCTGGCCACAGTCGTTAAGG